CCTTCCTCTTGGGTTACACTTCCAATGGAGGGCATGAAAACCAGGACAGGGGGTGGGATGGAATGGGATGTGGGACAGACCGTACAAGTCTGCTGCACATAATGGCAAGCATGGGACCAAGGTAGGGGGGTGAGACTGGTGGGGGTTTTTGCGGGTCACTCTGACTAGGCTGCAGCTCCCACTGGTTTATGCCAGTGTTGAATATGTGCTGGTCAGAACCACGCTGGACTGCAACACTCATTGATTCCAGTGGAAGTCGGGAGTGAAAACAGAACTAACCCAGCAATTGCAACCACCAACTAATCTGGGCCATGGACTGTGCTGGGCCCTGTACTTGCAACTACATACAAGAACCTGGTCTGGGAACACCTCAGACGAAGTTTCTTTGGGGATCTCCTCAACCAAAATGCCAGACTCAGAACTCTAACCAAGAAAAGACAGAGAACAGAACAAGTCAATCAACCACCTCAGCTGTTTGTTGGCAGTGAAATACAGGGCAAATGGAGACTCTATGAGGGACTGTGTCAATCAGTGGATTCTTCAATGACCTCATCGTGCTTGGAGTGGCGAGATTGGCAGCGATTCATAAATGGTGAACTATCAAAATCACTTGAGCAAGAACCTCAGAGCATGCCCCACATTTGTGACTTGGGAGGGTGGGAAATTGGGTGGGCCTTCTCCCTTAATACCCCCCTTTAAACATGAAGGAAACAATATGGAAATAATAGTCTTAGCCATTTTCCTATAGCCCTTGAAACTTTTTACCCAAATTAACTATGTAAAGATTGTGAAAAATGTAATAAAAATTTTAAAAACTATTAAATAATTTACTTATAGATATATTTTATGATTTTTAAACGGTTCAAAAATCCAGAGTAATTGAATTATGCTGTATTGCAGTAAAGTACAAACTAAAATTTTTTACATGTGTTTAAAAAAAAAGATGCGTTTTATTTCCAAGGCTCACAATAGGTCAATTAGGTTAATAGACGTTGCCAAGTTGCAGGGCTGGCACAGTGGCTCAGTTGGCTAATCCTGAGCCTGCAAATTCTAGCATCACATTTGAGTGCCAGTTAGTGTCCCAGCTGCTCCACTTCCCATCCTGCTCCCTGCTATTGCCTGGGAAACCAATAGAGGATGGCCAAAAGCCTTGGGACCAGGATATCACCTTCTCTGCTTGATTTCCTAAGAAATGTAGAGAAGAAAACAGATGAGTTCCTGAAATTTACACAGGCTATTTTACTCTGCACCACTATAGTCAATCTTCAGAAGATTGGCAAAAATGAACTTATTTTGGGGTTATATGTGAGGCAAGTATGGCTAACAGCCATAGGAAGCAGCCATCATTACCCAAGCAAGATGATCAACTTGACCCACAAGAAGCTCCTGGTTCCTGGCTTCTAATCAACTCAGCTCTAGCCATTGCTATAGTTTGGGGAGCGGATGGATGGAAAATCTTTCTGTCTGTATCTTCTGCTCTCTGAAAATGTGTCTTTCCAATAAAAATAGATAATAGTTTTTAAAATGTTGCAAAGGAATATACTTTAAAGAAGATATCATAAAAGCTTTTGTCTTTTATGGCTTAAAATATAAATACAATTGTGATTGTGTCCTTTTAGGTAAGTCAGACATTTCCATTAAAATTCTGATGAGCATCTTGATTGACTTAATGTATGCTCTTCTCAGAGTGATTGTAGGGATAAATTTCACATCTGATTGGTTTATTATAAATTCCACTTCATTCTTTTTTTGTTGTATTATTTTGTGGCCCATATGTTAAAGTTTAGATTTTATTCTGATGCCACTGCCAGTTAAATTCTATCAATAGCTTGAGATTACTGGTTACATTAATTAGTCATATGACACTAAGCATTATTTATATATCAATAGTTAATAATCATGTCTAAGGATTATCTGAAATGGATTCGTTACAACCCAATTGCACTTGCTCGTTTTCCCACAACAAGCTTTCTTGCTCTTTCTACAAAATCTAACCCAACAAAAGAGAACTCATACTCTCAGTTTCTCTAAACCTTTCTCTGAGAGTATTTCAGATGCCACTGGCTCTCATGCTAGTCAAGTAACACCATATGTACACACACAGAAAATTCTGGTAGTCTTGGTTTCTGACTTCCTCCTGACTCTAGCCTCCTGACTCTTCCACCAGCCTCCTACTGTGAAGCTAACCCTTCATCCAAAAGAGCTGAAGGGAAGCCTGAGAGGTATAGTCCAGTCTGTTGCTGGTAAAGACAGATGACTTTTCCGTTGCACACTTAGCAGCAATCTGCATTAACACTCAAGCTCTTTGTCATACAGATTACTGGGAGTCACTGGATTATGGGTTTTGTAATTCAGTCTACCATTTAATTATTCTCCTCCCAGCACTCTCCCTGCCCACCTCACCTCCCAATGTGTTGAAACGGTTTTAAACAGCTAAATTCCAACTTAACAGTAGGGCATTATTGTCTTATTACCTGAGGATTGCTTATAAACCCTGCCACGGAACACCTTGATTTATACAAAATAAATGCACAATATAAATAAAATCAATCAAGCCTCATCATTCTTGATTTGTGACAATTTAGATTTCAATTCTCAAGTGTTCTGTTAAACCCAAAAGATTTCTCTTTCTCTCCTCACATACTTTATAAACAGCATTCACCTACTTTTTTACTCTACTAATAAAATGTAGCATGGAAGTCTTTTGAATGTTGTGGCTACCAATGCAGGTATCATAACTGTATTTTCCTAGGGCCTTATGCTCCAGTTGGGTTTGATAAGGATTCAAACATTTCTATAAATAAGAGGAGTGAGTATAACATCCATGTGTGTGTGTGTGTATCTGTATGTTTATGGAATATTTTCAAGCAGAAAACATTCCAGAATAGAAAAGCAGGAAATATAACTTTCTTTCCCACCTGGAGTTTCCTCTGTTGACAGAAGTAGGAGTGAGTCCCTTGGATGAGTCAGAAACTTTGCTTGAGGGTTTAGAGCTGGTTATGAAATGTCTTTTTTGCACCTTTTTCCTACTACGGAGGAAACAGGTTGAACCTGGAGGCCTTGCTGGCTGAAAGAAACTAAAAGGAGTTCAAGTGCAAGGAGCTGGAGGGTGTAAAGGCAGCTATCTGGTTCAAAGCCTGAAGGCTAAAGGAATGTCAGTTCCCCCTCCAGCCCTGAAAACCTCTTCTGGCTGTATATATGTCCAAAATTGCAAATTTTGCCGTTAGAGAGGGGAAATGGGGTGCCTAGAGACAGCAGCTGAGAGATACCTGCAATTTGCCTTATAGTATTTTTCATGATTTGGATTTCACCATGTGACTGCCTTACTCATATAATACAGTTTGGAAGAGGATAAGAGGGTAAGAAGTCCTTGACTGATCCATCTTTTCTCCCTGGCTTCAGTACCCAGAGAATTTTCCAGTGGTTTGGAGACTCTCACTTGAGAGATTAAGCACGTCAACCCCTTCCAGTCTCCTTGCTTGATGCATGGAGCAGGATGACTTGTTATGATGGCCTGCCCGATGCTCCCTGGAATGTGGTACTCAGCCTCAGTGTCTCCCTGGAGACAGAAAGTGCTCTGATGCTCTGATATAAACATCTCCTTCCTTGTAAACGAATAAGTGGAGAAGCAAGTACCAGTAGGGACTTGGGTAGCCACAGCAGTATGCCCTTTCAACAATAGCCCTCAACAGGCATACTCATGTGTAGGGCTGGGTGAGGGTTTCCTGGAGAGTGAAGTTGGTTTAGGGATCAGGGATCAGCTGCTGTAGCTGGCACTTGGAAAAACAAGCCAAGCATTCAGACTACAGACCACTCAATACCAGCATTGTCTGCAATCTACCCTTCTTAAGGGGGTTGTGTGAGGGGGAGGAGGATGATGGAAGGCCAGAAAAATCAACCTTTTTAACCCTGTACAAGAAAGTGCAGGAGAGAAGAAAGGATGAACAGCATGCCAGTGTGGAAAGCCAGTTGCCAGGAGTGGTTGGTTGGAAATCTACTTTGTCTTTTAAGCTCACACTCCTCTGTCAAGTTGCTCCTGTGTTTGACACTCCTTTGCCAGTCCTTCTGCACGTGGTCCCTCATCCTGATGCTTTCCTATCCTCCTGTTTGCATCTCTCCTTGCCATCTCCTTTTTCTTAAGTCCCTCACCCCCACTTTCTCCTTTCCTGGGCTTTCCCCTTTCTTGGTTCACTTAGGTCTCTCTTTTCATCCCCTCCTTTAGAGCAACCCCTTTAAGCTCCATTGGCTCTTCTTAAGGAAATCAGCCAGGCCTGGGACGGAGCTGTTGTCCTGACAACCTAAGGAGCATCAGGCTTTCATTGAGGCTTGCTGCTGAAGCTGCTGCTGCTGCTGCTACTGCTGCTGCTGCTGCTGAAGGGGGCAGTTGTGCAAAGCGAGGGGCCACGGTGAAGGGAGGGAGGGGGATGACGTGGAGGGGCCGCTGAAAGCCAGCAGGGTGGGGGGAGGTGCCGAGCCTGGAGAGCTGGAGCCAGAGGGAGAGCTGGGGAAGGGAGGAGGGGAGAGCAGCTCTGAGCTGCCTCTACCGCTGCTGCCGCCACTGCTGCTGCTACTGCATGGTGCCTCCACTCTTACTGGCAGGCTCAGGGCTGGTTCCCTCTCCCGCCCAGGAAAGTGGGTTACAGAGGAAGGAGCTAAGCTTGCTCGCTGCCAGAAACGCACAGCCACCGGGAGACCAGAGCAGTCCAGCCTTTCTCAGCTCTCTCGCCTTCTTTTCTAGTGGCTTCTAGTATTTTAGAAATTTGGTTCTCTTGACTCCTGGCCACCCTCCTGTCTCAGCTTGGGTTTTGGAGAAGTCTTTGTGAAGTTAAAAAATAATAATAATAAAATAAAAAAGTGGAAGAACACGAACAAGGGAAGAAAAGAAAAAAAAAAAACAAAAAACGGCAAAGTGGCCAGGATCCCAAACTGGCACAGCGTGTCCTGCGTTGTTGGTGGCGGCGAGCACTGGGCGTGTGAAGCCCCTGTTCGTGGCCAGCAGCGCGCCCAGGCTCGGCTCCCGAGGACGCCCGCCGGCCACCATGGGCGCCCGAGTTCAGCCAGATCGCAAACAGTTGCCGCTGGTCCTACTGAGACTGCTCTGCCTTCTCCCCACAGGACTGCCTGTCCGCAGCGTGGATTTTAACCGAGGCACCGACAACATCACCGTGAGGCAGGGAGACACAGCCATCCTCAGGTAGGGCTTTCGGGCAACTTTTCTCCACGTGCATCCGTGTGTGTGTGTGTGTGTGTGTGTGTGTGTGTGCTCTCTATGATCTCCTGGAACTCTAGCTCCTGGGCTGCCGACGTGTGTGTGTGTGTGTGTGCGCGCTTCTTTACTCACTGGAGGACAGACAGAGCAGCCACTGAAATCCAACGGAATCGTGGTCCCCGTCAGGGACTAGTGGCGCTAGTTAAATGTTGTTGGGTCCTTAGGATAATGTTTCTTATCAGAAAGCATTCAAACTTCAACTATGGCATTAGAGACCTTTGGCCAGTTGTTCTGTCTTGCTCTTTGCTAATGCTTTGCACTTCGGGATTTCTGTTGATAGTCTTTCCCATGGAAAGAAGTGTTGTTGAATGATGGATCTCACTGCGTGCTACACGGTCCTGGTGCTGCTTGCTGCTTGTTCTGCCGTGTGTGTGTGTGTGTGTGTGTGGGTGGGTGGTGTGTGTGTATGCGCTCATCAGGGCTCTCACTCAGCCCCAGCAGGAGTTCTGATAGAGATGACTTCCTGTAAAAATCTTCTAATTGACGTCAAGGGCAATAAATCAATTTTAGAACTTTGGTTGATTATTGAGCCTGTTTCTCGAATGTGGGTGAAAAATGAACCCAAGAATGCAGAGAGGGAAATAAAGCAACTTGCCAAATTGCTAGCATTTAAGAATGAGAATGTTAAGCACAGAGGTTGGGAAAGAATTAATCTAGCATAAAATGGATATTTCAAATTGATTATTGACTTCAAAGTGTTATCTCTCTACCATTCTGCCAAACTCTTAAACATCATTTGGGATTCAATTTTGGAAGGGAAGAGTCTCAAGTCCTTGGCATTTTGACCCTTGAAAGGGACATTGAAATAGTGAGAGTTAAATGGCACCCAGTTTCTAAAGTATGCTAAGCTTTGTTTCATGCATTTCTCTTCTGTCTTTTCCTTGCCACCCTTGCTTTTTTTTTTCTTTCCTTAACTTTCTGGCGGATAGTAAAACACACACACACACACACACACACACACACACACACACAGAAAAGACATTTTCCTTTGAAATCTTTTAAAATCTCATTTGCTCCAAATAAAATGACCCAATGTTGGTATGTCTAGCTATTATTGCCTGTGGAGGCAATAAAAACAGTATACGGAAGAAAATAAACCTCTAATCTGTGTGCAAGGAGCTGATAGTGCACAAACCTTGGGGCATTGGGGAGCAGTTCTGTAGCAGAGTTGCCAACAGCAGCAAAGTTTTCTTTCTTTTCCCAGAAATAAATTTGGTTGGCTGTCACAGTGTGTCCTGCTTTGGGATCTGTAGCCTTGTTAGCAAGGAAGGTGTGTGTGGTGTGTTGGTGTGTGTGATGGTGTGCATATGTGTGTTGTGTATAGTATATGCTGCTCCATGTTGTAAACTAAGTAAATGCTCACATGTAAGCATTCCTCCTTTCATTTCCTGAGCACTGGGTGATTATGAATCCCGAAGAGCCTACTACCCAAAGCAGATTTTCCTTTCTAGTTCTTCAGACTTGTAAACCTGCATGTGTGATTTATCCTCATAGGGTAATAAGATTTATAGAGCAATTTATCTGTTTGCAAGGGGATTTTAATGTGATACAGAATTTTTTTTTTCAGACAGCCGTGCCTTCTTAACTGCTAAAATTCATGCTTGCCAAAATCATTAACCCTTTATTATGGAAATATTCCTTAAACACAGTCTTAGACCCCCGCCCCCCTCACTACTAATTTCCAGATTGGATACTAGACAAGTAAAAACCCTGGGTGTGTACAAGATTTTTTAAATGGATATGAGCTTTCTAAGATCTAAGTAAACATCTGAATCTAAGCTATAATATTCTAAGAGTTAGATAAGCATGAAATTGTTGATTTAGAAGAATAAAGGTATTCTTATACTTTCAGCAAAACACTTATACGCAGAAGTCTATATGTATAAGCAGTGGACTCCCTATATAAGTATCTGTATATGATAGTTTGTGCCCTGTATATATGTACATGACTTAAATACATGGTGGTTTGTAAACATTGCAGTTTCAGCAGGCATTGCAGTATAGAAACGGGAGTAGTGAGAAACGTTCACAAATACAGAGTCATTACTCCCTGGAAAACATAAGATAGAAAACTGTACAAACAAGTTGCCTGTGAGTCCACTGCTTCTTACGTCCTGGCCTCACATGCCCTCTTTCTTCCTCCCTTTGCGGAGGACAAAGCTTTATTTGGGGGTTGGTGAAGTAACTAGGGAGAGAGATCCCTTTGTTTTGCTAGCTGACCTTTTTCTCAGTCTCTTTAACTGAGTCCAATATGCTTTGTGGGTCAGTTTGCTGGTGAAGAATGGTGTTCTTGCTTTCTGTTTGCAAGTCCAGCCTGGGAAAAGCCTGTTTCCACTTTACTTGTAATGTTTCACTTGGAGCCTGTGCTTCCACAGGAGGAGAGGAAGGAGAGAGTGAATCATTGGAAGGCACAGTAGATGTTTGGCTCTGAGCAAGTGAAATGGCAAGGAGGGGGAAAAAATGAAGAAAACCATCTCAGTGAGACTGTGTTCCTGAATAATCTGAAATGGCATTGGTGGACAAGGAAGATTTGTAATTCTGGTGATCCAGTGACAGAAGTTTTGCTGACAGTCCCTATAACGTTCACCTTCAGTCTCTTACTTTCACGATGCAAGTAGCTATTTAGGGAATCAGTGATTGTTTTTGCATGTTTATGGTCTTCGGGATGAGATTACATTTAGTCTTGGTGTCTTAGTATGCAATTTCTCTGTTTTGGAGTAAAAAGGTTAAGATTCTTCTGACAAGCCTGGAGGAAAAGAGAGAGATTCCTAAATGCATAACTAAATCAGTTGCTTCTCAGAAGAGAGTGCAGATCTTTGTGAGGAATTGTGTCAAGAGCAAAGGTGAAACAGTCAGGGTTTCATGAGTCATGCAGTCTGGGTGCAGCAGCAGTAACACGTGCGGTTCCCTCTGAGCCGGAAGGAATGAGAATCTGCCTAGATACTTGCATGCCCAGGAGCAGGTGAGATGCTCCAATCCATAGGACTTCACCTCTGATGCAGTTGCAGGTGGTTGCTTGGGTAGGGCCCACCTGATCCACTGCCACTGTTGACAAGCACAGGGTTGTATCACTTAGTTGATGAGATGCTAGCACTCATCTGTACAGTTATCCAAAAGCACTCATAGAGATCCATCTTATGCTCAGTTTGGGTATGTGAAAGTCATGCACTTCTTTTAGCGCGTCAAGGAAGAGATGCAATAGGTAGCATTCAAAACCAATCTGAGACTTCATTTTTAGTGATCTTGTATTTTCCATATTGACAACATACATCTGGGATAATTGCACATTACTTGGCCCTAAAGAATCATGTTAATTACATAATGTGTTATTTACCATGTATCTGTTTACAAGGCAGCTTTGAAAAGATTACATATACATGCATGTTTGGACATACAGTGTTAAGTTTACATTTAACCAAATTCAGGAGCTTCACACCATTGTTATTTTAATTATTCCAAAAATGGAGATTTTAAAAAAATTATTTCAATTTTAATCGCATTTGATGTTTGTGGGAAATTATCAAGTTTTAAAGAAGATAGTATTTTCACATTTCTATGTAAATGTATAGTGTAAGAATTTAGAATCTAGAATTTCTAAAGAAACTGCATAAGCAAAGAATCATTAATTTTTAATTTTTCCACATACTGGTTCTCTCTTACCACAGCCCCCAACACACATTTGAGGAAATGAACAAAATGACAAAACAAGGTGTGATTATCTGATAATAAATTGTAAGAATTTTGTGTAGATTTCCAGGGAGGGAGTAGTTTCTCATCTGTATTCTTTCACCTGTGGACATGTGGAGTACCTGCATTCACTGAGGCAGTGGCAACATCCAAACTCCTGACATAATATGTCATTTTCTACTACTTGAAATTGCTTATTTGAAAACCAACTTGGTGAGTAAGGGTCTGCAGGAAAATAAATGGTGATTATAATTTTTTGTACCTAACCTATTAAATATAATAAAAATAAATTGGCTATAATTGAAATTTTAAATATACAAAACTTTTTCCTAAGGGTGTAACAACATGTACATATATCTGTATATATCTGTATATATGTATATATACAGACAGATGTATGCATATTTCTATCAGGTGAATTTGCAAATTGTCTAATTTGCTGTTTTTTTCTCTTATGAAATACGTAACCATGTATACATACTTAGATAAGGATAATTTAAAAACCTCGTGGAAAATGAAACTGCGACATGGAAGGAAGGAGTAAACTATATTCTTAAAATTGTATCTATGAAGTGTATTAAGTCTGTTTGTGTTAGTAATACATCAACATGGGAAGTGTTGAGGATAAAATGGAAAACAGAGAGGTTCATTTTATCATAAAGAGGTTTCAATTCCATGCATCACTTTTCATAATGTGTGTTGCCTGAAGCTTCTCCCTTTCCACACCTGTAATTTATAAGACAATCACTTTTCCTGTTGTGTGTTAATTTGCTTGGGATGAATTATTTGTGGAGTTTTTGAGAGAACTGCCAAATGTGACTGACACATCCACTAAGTCAGCTGATGAGAGTTAAATATTCGTGTTTTTTCAAAGCTGATTCCCCTCAATAGGAAGCTCAACCCATAAAGCATTAGTGCATTTTCCTGTTTTCTCTTGGAGCTAAAAGCACAAGTGGCTGTGACTCACTTGATAGGAGGCTGCCTGCATGTTCTGGCCCTTCTCCTTTTTCATCCCTGAGCTTAGAGATACTCTCCATTAGGCCATGACTTCTGGGATATAGTCATTTGCCCTGTTCCTTTCTGAATTTCCTGCCTATTAGTTTATAAGACCAAGATCAGGGTGCTAAATTTGGCTCTATCCTTGCACACTATGACTTTGAGAAAATCCCTTAAATATTTTGAGCCACAGTTTCATTTACAAACTGCTGAAGCTGTCTATTTTAGTTACCCTACAGGGT